AATATAGAAAATAAAAAATTGGGTACGTGGCAACGAACCATTATAAATAGGGGCCAAAGGGACCAAAGCATATCAACACGACCATTGCCAAGTTCTACAAAGTGTATTGAAGCCCCATGGAGTCCACAGCTTTCTTCTCCTTCATCTCACCATTTTGGTCTTATGCCATGATCTTCATAATTGCTCTCTTCAGACTCATCAAAACCCTAAAATACCCTCGCTCTACCCCTGCATTGCTCCGCAAACACAGACTCCCTCCAGGTCCCCAACCATGGCCTATTATTGGTAATTTACCAGAACTGCTTTCAAGCAAGTCTGCGTCCAAATGGATACACCAGCTTATGAGAAACTTAAACACTGAGATTGCATGTATCAAGCTGGGAAATGTCCATGTGATTCCAGTGATCGACCCTATTATAGCCTGCGAGTTCTTGAAGAAACAAGACGATATTTTCGCTTCAAGGCCTATCAGCATGTCCACTCATCTCCTCTCACGTGGCTATTTAACTGCAGTCATCGTGCCATATGGAGATCAATGGAAGAAGATGAAGAAGATGATAGTGAAGGACTTGCTTTCTGGGGCCAGGCATAGGTGGCTTCATGACAAGAGAATGGAGGAGGCTGATAACCTCGTGCGCTACGTTTACGCGAGTCAGAATAACAATGAAGGAGGCCTTGTGAATGTGAGGATTGCTGCTCAGCATTTCTGCGGGAATGTCATCAGGAAAATAATCTTCAATCAAAGGTAACTCGTATGCATATTAGTGTAAATAATAATAATAATAACTTAAAAATATTAAACGACTTCAATCTAGTAGACTATTGCTTCATGAGAACCTGTAGCGTGGTTGAAAAATAAAAGAGGTAGTTTTTAAAAACTATAGTCCAACATGCATTCCTTTAATAATCTGTGTTATATTTCTGTAACAGGTATTTCGGAGAGGGTGGCCAGGATGGAGGGCCAGGGTTGGAGGAAATAGAGCATGTGGGTGCACTCTTCGTAATGCTCAAATACTTATATGCCTTCTGCGTTTCTGACTTTGTGCCATGCTTGAGGGGACTCGACTTGGATGGGCACAAGAGAGTGTTGAAGAATGCCGTGAGGATAGTGAACAAGTATCATGATCCCATCATCGAAGCAAGAATCAAACAGTGGAAGGATGGCGCCAAGACAGAATCTGAGGACCTGCTTGACGTTATGATTTCTCTCAAGGACGCTCATAATAACCCCCTATTATCCATGGAGGAAATCAAAGCACAAATTCCAGTTAATGCTCTTGTCCACTTCATATATACTTCAATTTTTTAATGCTTTTGAAGAAGGAGAAATTTATGGAACTCGATTAAAGCAATAACAAAAACGAATCGGAACTTTATTTATTTTGCAGGAACTTATGTTTGCAACAGTGGACAATCCATCGAACGCCGTAGAATGGGCACTCGCAGAGATGATGAACCAGCCACAACTTCTTCGAAAAGCCACTGAGGAATTGGACCGAGTAGTGGGTAAGGACAGGCTTGTTCAAGAATCGGACATACCAAAACTCAACTACATCAAAGCCTGCCTAAGAGAAGCCTTTCGCCTTCATCCTATTGCTGCATTCAACGTCCCTCATGTGGCTATGCGTGACACGGTGGTTTCCAACTACTTCATCCCAAAAGGCAGCCACGTGATACTGAGCAGACAGGAGCTAGGGCGAAACCCCAAGGTTTGGGAGGATCCTCTTAAGTTCAAACCAGAACGACACCTCACGAACGATGGTTCAGAAGTGTTCTTGTCAGAAACGGATTTGCGGTTCATAACCTTCACTACGGGCAAACGTGGGTGTCCAGGAATGGTGCTTGGGACCACTCTCTCTGTGATGTTGCTTGCTAGGTTGATCCATGGATTCACTTGGAGTGCTCCACCTCACCAACCAGTTGAACTGGTTCAGTCCGAGACAGACCCCTTCATCGCTCAGCCACTGGTGGTCGTTGCAAAACCAAGGTTGCCTAATGAGGTTTATCTCTTGGGTTAATTTAGCCAAGCTAATATATATTAATACATAAGCCCATCAAATAATCAGAAGAATAATATTTTAGGTATTCTCTTATGTGTTCCTGTTGACATAATGACCAGAATATTTTATGTATTTGATTCCAATCCTTTGTACTCTATGCGCAACCTTCGTACATTTGATTTGTAGACTTGCATTCCCCAGGGTGCTACAATATCACATCGCTTTTCTTTTTTGGGTGAATACCAGGCGCCCAAGCCAAACAAGGACCCACTTTCAGTATTCATCTATTTGATAAGTACTCTACACTCATCAAATCTAGACTATTTATATTTGATTTAAACAGTTCAAATTTAAAGTCTATAATTAATTATTTTTAAATAGAAAAAATTATTTGTTGAAAAAATGATGTCCTCGGTTCTAAATATAATATCCATTTTTAGTACAATTTGCACTACAAATATAAGACCCATTTTGTAGTACAATTTGCACTACAAAAGGGATCTTATATTTAGGACTGGAGGAATAATTAAGAGATTATCTTTATTTTGGATTATATATATTAAAATAGTTATCTTGAACAAATAAAAATAAAAAAGAAATTAAATCCAAACTATCCAAATGAGATATATACAGTTCAGATTTGATGAATTTAAGATATTCATCAAAATGATGAACAGCAAAACTGGATCCAACCAAACAAGGACCCAGTTTCAGCCAAACCATACAAGTGGAGGAAGGTTAAGAGTAACTTGCAATAAAACTAATTTATTTTACCATCAAGTGTTGGTCCAAGTAGAAGAGACTTGAATACCTTAAACATCATATCTTGGGTTCGATCCTTGGGGCGATGTGTATGAAAAAAATACTATTGAGAGGGATCTTTGGGACAGACTAATTAATGAGCACAGACAATTCACAGTTGCAAAACACAAGGCAAGCAAGCGTACTAAAAGGTGACAATGAACTTTAACCATAATAACAGGATTAATATAATTTTTGGTCTCTTGAATTTAGGCCCATTTTAATTTTGATCCCTGAAATTTCAATCATGTGGTTTTAGTCTTTGAAATTTACTCTGTTAAAAAATATTAGTCCTTAGCCATTAAGTTTTGCTTAGCTGGCGCAAACGGTGTTAATTTGGATGATGTGGCTTGTTACTTAGCAACATGAGTTGATTAAGGGGCATGATGAGCTGAACATGCGTTTAAAAAAAAGAGCCAGCTTTGTTTAAAATCCAACACAGGACACATTGGAAAGAAAGAAGCAAAAAATGACACAGAAGAGAACAAATGATAAGGTAAAGCCACTAGGTGAAGAGGACCCCCATCTTATGACGTGGTTGTTGCCGAAAAAGCAGCATTTTCCGACAACTGTGGTTTCTTTGCTTTGTTTGCATTGTGCTCTGTTTTGTGCTTGAATTGTGGAATTGAAATTTTGACTAGGTTACAGGAGTAGGGAGAAAGAGAGAGAGGAATCAGATAGTAAAGATAGCATTATTTAAAAGTTTGAAATTAGGGAATGTTCTCTAGAAACAAAGAAGCTAACTCACTCACTCCATGTCGCCATTACTGAGAGAGATTGAGGAGTGAGATGTAAATGGGGAAGAAGAAATCCTAGGTATTTTGCTTTTTATGCAAATGGGTTTTTTACCACACAGTGAAATGTATGAGAAAGAAAGATTACCAGTGGTAACCTACAAAGAGACGACGATACCCACCACAGAGTGTGTGTGTGTAAACACATAAAATGATGCTTTTCAGGTTTCTGACCACACCTATACTACTACCTCCAATCCTTAAAATGATGCTCATAGCAACTCCTTTAATACTGTCTTAGTAACAAGTATCCCAGGTGGCCACATGCAAATGTTTGTGAACTACATAACCAATAAAAAATGTATTTCCAACCTTCCCTAATTAATGACTATTCGATGTGGCAAACAAAAATGCTCGGTTCAAGTTCTTCGATCCATGGCTACCAGAAATGTCGCTTTTTTAGAGACGGCCACGTCGTCCTCTTCACCAAGCGTTTTCCCCCTTTGATTTGTTTTCTTCTGCGTTCTCGTGCTGCATTTTAAAAAGACCTGACTTTTTTTTTTTTTTTTTAAACTTCTCCTAATTACATGTCCAGCTAATCATGCCACCTAATTAGTTCATATTGTTAAGTCAGAAGCCACATCATTCAAACTAATACTGCTTGTGCTAGCTTAGCAAAATTTAACGGCAAGGAACTAATGTTTTGTAACATAATAAATTCTAAGGACCAAAGCCACATATTTGAAATTCTAAAGACCAAAACCAAAATGAGTCTAAATTTGAGGGACTAAAAATTATATTGACCTAAAATAATATTTTCCCTCCAGGAAAAGGTAATTCTTTTTTTCTTGGCTGCTATTAGATCGTCTCATTGATTTATTGCCCACTTTGGAAGTCGCAAATGGACACGGCCATGGAGAGGGGAGTAAATTGAATCGATGATCGTTTCACCTCATCGTTTTGCCCTTTCAAGTGAAGTCAGAAAATAAAATGATCATGCCAGCAGTTAAAAGTTGTTATTTTATTATCATATAAACAAGTCAAAAGTTAAAAGGAAGAATTATAATAAGATCCCAATAAAAAAAATAATTACAAAATAAGTTCCAAAGATTGTCATTTTCTACTCTAAAATTTGTCATTATACGTTGTTTAGGTTGTTATTAGGGTTATTTAATAATTATTATTTTTTTCTTAGGACTTGATTGTAATCTTTCCAAGCTAAAATTGTCTTCGGCTTTCATAGATAAACTAGTTTGCTCTTTAAACTAACGAAGCCTTCTTTGTGTTTCGAAATACATACCGAAGTTCTGTACATTACAAGAGACCATTTAAGCTGTCATGGAATATAATTGACTCATACGCACGAATACAGGTCTGAAGCTTACCTCTCCCTGGATTATTGTCCTTTTCTTGCGTCTCATTATCGTTTGACCTTATAACGTGAAGCGTTATAAAGGTTATCCAGTTTGTACGCTCTCACCAAAAATAATAATGATAATAATAACAAGCGTCAAAGAGTTAGACTTGGACAAAGTAAAATATTTCCTATCATTCAGATGAGAAACGAGAAACGAATATACACAAGAGAAGGTAATGTGTAAACCCATCTCCATATGGACAATATTATCAAAAGCAAACTATTTATAATTTTATATATGGAAAAAAAAATATGATAAGAAGATAATCAAGGAGGATTGGTCTGACTTGAATTGGCATCATAATATACCTTATCATCTGTCCCTTCCTTCTCCAAGATAACCGGTCCAAAGCATCCCCCATTAGAGAAGCACTCCTGACCTCCATTAGGGCCATTTTGATCCATATATGCCTGTAGTGGATGACAGTTTGGAGCTCCAACATGACCATTCATGCTTGGTGCATCAACTTGCATGTCATCGCGATCAGGATGGCTATTCAGATCTATCTGCACGGCACTGCATTCACCCACCTCAAGCTGTCTTCTACTCATGCTCCCTTCTTTCTCCACATGACTTGTGTCTCCCCTAGATCCTCCATTCATATCTGACGCTTCGCTATGATCCATCTGGTGGCTAACATCTGCTTCGCGTTCCGATTGGCGTTTCTTCTTACGCAGCATAAGGGTTTTGAACCTCCTTTTCACAGTCATGCACACATTGCAAGTACAGTCGGCAGGATGTCTTCCCTTTCCACTTGGTGGCTGAATGCAGACAATGCAGGTGCAGCCAGGACGATGTCTAGGATGTTTGGTGGTGGGCCCAGCTGATGACTCAGAAGGATCCCCGTGACCATCTCCCAACACTGCCACATTAGCAAGAGCATCAAGGCCTGAAGGTTCAAATTCTCCAGTTGACTTATTATTTTCTGTAAATCTTCGCCTTTTAAAGTCTGGCAAAAATTCAGGGTAGACAGAAAAATTCAGGATGACTCATCGTGAAAGAAATCCAATTAACAGGAACATTGGAAAGAAATCGTGATAACCGCATTGGATGACTCATCGTGAAAGTTACACTGTAACGTTAACGAAGATTTCTGCTCATTGTGAAAGTTACACTGTAACGTTAACGAAGATTTCTGCCCCAAAAGTCATAAAATTTTGGGAAAAAAGGAAAAAAGAAAATATATTTTGATTTACCACTTCCAAACTTGCAATACGTATAAAACTATGGAAGGCACTTAATGCCCATGTACCATAGACAACAACAAACTCTCAGAATTTAAGCATGGGCAGGCAGAGAAGAATTTGACAAGCATTATATCAATAATTACATCATTAAGAAAAACACATCTCAATATTTTTACGATTATGAAGATCTTTCATAGATGCATTCAGTCACTTGGCCTGCTCAAAGCCTGTCCCAAACATAACAGGTGAAAAGGTAGAGTGACGAACAGATACCATGATCATACCTTTGCTGGATTTCGAAAGATCTTCCTTAGGTCCTAGCTCCTCTGGTGCAGAACATGAAGATCTAAAGAATATTTCTCACGTCAGTAATAGCCTCATTATATGATCAACGTCTCATATCAAGAAAAACTCTAGAAAAGAAACAATAATACACCTGGTTGGATCCCAGACATTTTCAGAACAAGTCCACTTAGGTGGTAGAAGAACGTCTACAGGCAATTTTCGCCATTTAGAGCAATCATCACATGAAGCCCATTGTTCCTGTCCCCTAAATGAAAGAGTTGAAAACATTCAGGCACAGGTAGCGTACAAAGGTTTATATAACATTTAAGTAGGAAAAAATATTATAACTCCCATCCCATGGCCTTAACATTAAAAGAGGAGACAGGAAAGGAAACGCATTCCATAAGACATATTGTCAGCAGTCTGACTGCAGCCGAAAAGGTCTCTACAGTACAAAAAGGTTTTACGACTAACAAACTGGTTGTGATTAATGAATTTAACAGCAGAGAACCTAAAGCAACAATGCATAACGGACATGGGCCCTGAAAAATAACAAATTATTGTTTCTGTTGAAGGCAAGTCTAAGTGACAAACACCATCAAGAAATCCTAGTATTCACTCAAGATATCCTAGTGTTTTTGAATATAGTGCTAAAAATACAATTATAAAAAGTAAATATAATCTTACCCAGACGGGCAGGCACTGAATATAGTTCTCTTCCCAAAAACTGGGGGTTCCTAATGAAATGAAGGAGAGGGACCACACATATTAGCAAAGTCATGTGGGAATTTAAACATTATCTTGAGACTATATCAGCTCACATTCAACTTAATAAAACAAACTTGCTAATTAAAAGCATATATTAATTTGACAGTGACACACATACATTGTACTCCTCAAAAATGTGGTCCTCAATTGTAACAATGATTGGCTGAACACTGGGTGGTGGACGGAGTAAGTCTTGTGCTTCCTCCCACGTTAGTCTCAACTCCAAAGCATCTTCACAATTAATGCGCAACCTCTTATTTTTAGGCCCAATGTTCCGAGTCCTTTTCCTATCTGAAACTGAAACTGATTGCTGCAGGGAATCATTTTTCATCATCTGGCCAGAAATTTCCGTTTGAGGAAAATCAGCTACCCTGTTACCTAAATGCAGGTGTTCTGATTGTCTATTTAAGTGAGGCTCGCTGTTCCCTTCCACAGACTGAAGAAGATCAGAATAACTACTTCCTGACGGCAGGCTCTCCCTTGCACCAGAAATGGCTGTTTCCTTTGCTGTAATCCCATTAGAATGCGCAGATGTAGACACATCCTGTTTAAAATAGTTTCTCAAATTCAACAATGGCTCAGAAAACTACAGATCCATTTTATCAAGAAGTGCCAGTATATAATAAAGTGGGAATCTCTATTTCACAACCTGACTTTCTAGAGCATTTGATGTCTTTCTGAAACCCATAATAAGTCTGCCCCCAGGATCTATCCTGCTAAATGTCACTTCGATTTTAAAAAAAAAAAAAAAGTAAGTGAAGGATCACAAAAATTAACAAGTAACTTCAGATTCACAAGACAAGATTGGCGCTCCATCTTTGCCAACAGTTTAATAACTGCATGTATGATCAATTACATAAGGGCATGATTCTTCCATTGGTCCTCAATAGATTAAAATATCAGAAGTTAATGTTCTAAATGATGTTTTAAAAGGCCAAAAGTCTAAGTGACTGCAAGAATTACAAATAAATACGGGCAGTAAAAATATATAATCAGAAAATACATCAAGATGCAATTAATGGATCATATTAGGGCTGGCTACAACAAAAGACACTATAAAAGGATTTATGGCCATAAACATGCATTGATTTTTAATAGTCTTGAAATAAATCAGTATAAAAATATTATCATCAGCAAAAGCTGAAAACTGGCAATGCAATAAGTGGCGCCAATTTCTTCTGTAAATTGATGTATACCAGTATCACCCGCAATCAATTGCATTGACTGTATGCAAGGGGTCACACCCTCCAACACGTACATCCTACTGTTGTTATTAGGCCAAAATCTGAATTGAAACGTCCATTCATTCCCCTTCACATCTTGCATTTCCAAAGGAAGACCTTCTGATTGTGAAATAGGAGGGAAAAAAGCCTGCAATTCATATGCTAGGTTGTTAGGCGCATTGAAATTGAAATTGGACGGTAAAAAGTAGTTTGCTGTAAAAGAAAATATATGGTTCGAAATAGATAAGCAAAAAAATAAAGCAAACGAGGAAAATAAGGTGTCAAAGAAAATAAAATCCAAGAATTACTTCAGCACAAGCTTTTGGAAGAACAAGGCGACCAATTCGACCTGCATCACTGGCACTCAGCACCTTCTCAAATAATGGCACCACAGTGGATTTCAAACTTTGATAACGTTGAGGGTAACTATTGATCTATGATCTGAAATTAACAGAAGTCTGCAGAAGTGCAAAAGGCCCAAAAGGAAAAAAAAAATCAAAAGGATACTTTCCAGACAATTGCTCCAGCTCTTCATCAGTAATCCTAGGCCAGTACCGAGGAAGTAGCTGGCTCTTGCCCCTTCCTTCAACAGGTGGCCGGGCAAGATGGGCCTGAGAAATAGAATTCATTCCTTTATTTGTTTCTATGTTCATGGTAAGGCCAGTCTTTGATGGTTTAGCAAATACAGGGGGAGATCTCTGTCCTTGATGAAACAGAGAAGAAGGTTTGCCCTCAAGCTTTTCTTCTGCAATTTCTCTAGCAGAAGCAAGGGCAAAGTTTCCTGATGGAATTCCCAGGGACATACTCAAAGATGGTTGTGCAGGCGGTTCAAGCATATTTTTAATCTCCCATGTTGGTCTATTATTTTCTAATAAAGGAAATTTTAGTGACCGAATCGATGTTGTAAGCATATTTGAAAATCCTGAATCCATATCCCTTGTTAGACACTTAATATCTTGGCTCTTCAACCCACTAGATGAAATCATTTTATCTCTTTGAGGCTGATGCAAACCATTAGTCTCACTAGCTTCAACAATTCTGCAGAACTGCATAAGTTTTCCTTCATCAACATTATCCACCAACAGTTTCCCATCAATGTGATGAGGACGACAATCACTTGCATTTGTTGTGGTCGGTGTAACAGCACCTTTAGGTTCTTTTGTGTTCTGCAAATGCATAAATGAATGAATGAACAAATGAATAACAGAAGCCTGTGAACTTGCTATGTTAGATAGTCAAACAACATAATACAAAGCGTGCAGTCTTACAACATCTTACACCACATAAAGTGGATGGTAAAATATCGGCAGAACAGGGTCTCTGGAACAGAATCATTAAACGAACCAATTCGGAAGCCACAACAACAACAACAACAAAATAATAAAGAGAAAGGGAAAAGGCTTAATATTATTGGAAAATAACAGTATGGCAGAAGCATGAGGCCCTTCAAGTAATCATAAGTACAGACAAGCATCACCACTCTACTATGGCAAGTTAAGTTTGGTGGTAGAAATGTGTGAATTCATAAAGAAAACCCCCAATACTGAAATTGCTGGTACACATTTTAACACTATGGATACAATTAGCTATTATAAATACATAAAATCTGCAAGTGATCGCAACAATTTTAAACAGTGAACTTGGTCAATATGAATATCAAAAGTGGTTGGTTGACCAACAACCTTGTCCTGGAGGCTCTCCAGCCTAAGAGGAACTAGAAGCATGGTTGAGCAACAATTACAAACAAAATAAACTTGACATAAAAGACCATTCAACACCAATGCCAGCACAAACTTTAGATCAAGAAATCATTATACATGAAAATTGTCTGTAGAGAACATACCAAATGCGAACGAGAAGCCTTTACACAACTGATGCAACCTATACCTCCAAAGTCAAGGTAGTCGAACAAATACCTAGATACTATGCATCCACTGTGGATAGGCTGCCAAACCAGGTCAAATAGATTTGATATCTAAGAAGAGTAAGGGAAGGCTGGAATAGAATTTTAAAGAAATAAGATTGATAAACAATCGTTAAAAATAAATTAAAGAAATTATCAGCTTACCTTGTTACAAAAGCTGCAGTCCCTCCAACCAGTTTGTTCACGATGGAATTTACTACAGAAAATGGATGCCTCATAGGCAGATCTAAAGTAAAAAGAGTGGTACATCATAGATGGTCCACAGGAGAAATACCAAAATCAAGTAGAAAATTATTAAAACCCAAACAATGTCAAGATTCACACAACATATAAAAGAATGAAGAATGGTAGTACATGTGATATTGATGATTTCAAAACTTGAAGTAAAATATGCAGCGGATCCTACTTGTTGATAACTACAATACTACTATTTGGAAACCTTAGTTTTACAATCTACCACCAGCAGATTTTATGGCAGCCCGGTTGAATTAAGAAGTGATACCAGCGACAAGAATCAAATCAAATTGAGGATACCAAAAAGAAAGGGGTATTAAGAAGAACCGCCATGTGTTCAGCCAAGTAATACACAAATATAAAGTCTGTGCCACATAGTCTTAAGCGGTACATCAAAGTGAAAGATCTGATGTCACTCATCATGGAAATGCATAAATCAGTTAGCTGCACTTACATGGAATCAAGGGTGTCAAGCTTGCACTCGGTCGAAATTCTATCACCACAGAAACAAATTGGTCAACAAAATATATGATATGAAATAACAACCAAAAAAAAAAAGTTTCTGCCAACAATTTAGAACAGTTATATTATGATATCTGTATGACAGAACACACTTCCTAGTTCAATATTCAGAGATATTGCTCAGATTAGATGCATTGACCCTCATGCTGTATTTCCAAGCTGGCAGCTAAAAATAAACCAGCAAATTCAAAATATTTTAGAAACTAAGATATACAGGCTGACAAAGAACTACAAAAGGTTATTAGACTTCTCTATTTAAGACCCTTTCATAGTTCCATGTTATTAATTTATAAATTTTATTTACACGTATAAAATACAAAAGGAAAAAGAAGAAGAAAATTAACAAAAAAAAAAATTTAACCAACATCAAAGCGTTGGATTCTTCATTTAAAATAGTACGGCCACTATTATTATATAATAGTTATACATCCCTAGACTACAATGCGATCAAAGTCCATCACATTAGAGTTACCAGCATAAGTCAAAATTGCAGAAGATTTGATTTTAAAAAAAAAAAAAAATTTAATCCTACTTGAGCTCAGGCAAAAGGCAGTGTCAAATCCCTGATATCTAAAAAGATGCAGTAAACTCACGAGTCAATCCCAAACTACCCTCACATCAAGAAATCAAGGAATAACCCCAATAAGAACAAATAAATTGGAATCAAAACCCAAGAGTAGGGAAAAAGAATTTACCCGCAGTTATTACAAAATTGGGCGAATCCACCAGATGAAAGAGTCCACCCCTTCTTCCACTCATGAGCAGTGGCCGACCCACCAGAAACACCGACACAAACCTCGGACCCCATAAATTTGAAAACCAATCACTCTCTGAACTACAAAATATCTCTGTAAATCACACATAACAGAATCAAATCCCTAAAACCCCTTTGAGAGACAAGGATAACACTATAAGTTAAAACCATCGTCACACAGATTCATGCACGCTTTTTACGATTTGCAGTGCGAATAACAGAGGGATAAGAGCAATAATACGAAAACAACCTTCTCCCCGACAAGGGGAATATGCAAAATGAACCTAGGAGCAACTCATTCACCTGAACAGAACATAGAAGGATCCCAACTTCCTACCCTCCTTACCCACGCAAATCTCTGAAACCAAACCCCTAAAAGCCGAAATTTGGCTACCAGCACAGGCAAAGAACAGAGTCAATCAAAGTCAAAGAAGAAACGCAGCCATATATCAGAGAAGCCACGAACGTAACGGCCATCTGGGTTATTATGTGAGAGGGTGTGAGAGAGGAAGAGAGAGAAAGCGTAAGCGTGTATGGGCTTAGATAGAGAGAGAGAGAGAGAGAGAGAGAGAGAGAGATTGGGGGGATAGTGCATGCAAAGCAACAGATGCATAAAATGCATGCACGACACTTGAAGACACACCACCGCTTAGCCTTAACAAGTCGTCCCCTCTTTTTACTCTGTTTTACTTTGCAGAGACTATGATACCCTCACCCGCGGGTTTGTAATTGCAGAAAGCTCAGGACTAAGATGGAATTATGATTATTGTGGGCGCAACAGAAAGTAACTATGAGCTTTTCCCGGGAAAGCCATTCGCTCCGTTTCTGACTTTCTGCAACGTTTTTTTTTTTTCCCCGAGTGAAGACTTTCTGTAACGTTTAATAGTTAATGCACTTGACTCCCCCTCGCCACCCATAGCAAAAAATTATGTACTTTAAAAAAAAATTTATTCACAATGCTTAAAAAAAATTTAAAAAAAATAATTATTTTGAATAAGTTTAGATCCTTCGGATTAACAAACTTATAAATTATTTTTAGAATATCATTTTTGTTTAACTAAGAAAATCCGTAGATAAAAATGACATGCTTCTCATCACTTTATATTTCATACTAAATCATATCGTCGAATTTTTTTAATTACTTACGGTTGAATCGAGGGTCTATGAAATCCAACATATTAGCTAAACAAAATCACAAATTTAAGTTGTGTGGATGAAAATATAATCATTCGGATATTTGCTACCAAAAAGATCATCTTTCTTTTTTTTCTTTGAGTTGGGAAAAAATAATTTTTCGTTCAATTTTTACCAAATACTCTTGAAGCCACATTTTTTAATAATGTTAAGTTAATAATTAGTATCTAATGTTATCATTTGTATAATAATTTAGAAATACGATCCCGTATTTTTAAATTTTTCATATTGAAGCATAAGTAGTTTAAAAAATCGAATATTATTTTTATTTTTTATGGCTATCCGGTTCTCTTTCAAATACATTTTTTGCATTACAGTCTAAAGTTCGAGATTTCATACTTAAGCGGGCAAAATTTTTTCCATTAGAATTAACACCAGCTGATATATAATTTTTCCTTTGTAGATATTAATTTTACATTGCTTGATTTTGTTTTACTATAACGTATGTGTGTGGCCTATGGGGATAAAATATTGTGTGTGAAACTAAATCAATGACTTTAATTTCTGTCGTGTGGATTTTCATTTGGGACTCCGAATAAACAAAATTAAATGTATCGTGGACTATATATTGTAAATTGATTTCAATATCAATAAGAGATTTCATCATCTCATGCATGCAGCGAATATAATATTTAAATAATTAGAGAAAGGAAACTAAACTCTTAGGAGAAAGCCTCCTCCTTGATCATCACCTACTGGCCAACTGATTAATTAATTAATTTGAACAAATCATAAACAGATCATTAAGAAAATATAATTGCGTTTTCCCGTCGTTTTCAATATTTGCTTAATTATGTTTTTTTTTTGGCCAATACGCAATTCCATATTGCTTAATTATGATTGCACTCCTCGTAACAAAGGGAAAGCAAATGGAGCCTTTTTGAGTGTAGAAGCTGATAATCATAAATTAGTATTACGTTGACTAATTAATATGATTAATTAGTTGTTAAATCATGTGCATTATATTATATTACGGGCATACATATGAATATGCCATTATATGGATCCCTCCTAGCAATTGAAAAAAGGGACAGGAAAACATCATGCTTACATTAATGATCATTATATTGATAGAGCAAACCGTTTTTTCATTGTTCCTTTTACCGCTTTAAATATATTTTTTAAGATAGCGATTCAAACACATTTTTAAATTTTTTTATTTTTAAAACTTGTTCTGAAAAAACACAGTATATTATTATTTGAAGAACACGAAAATAGATAGTAGAATCAAACAAGCCCTTAATTTTCAAAAAGTATACTTATTTTATCTAACATATATATCAAGGTGATCATGTGTAAAAGATTTTAGATTAGAGTGATAAAAGCCATACAAAACAACTCAATAAAATATGTAGAAAATTTATGAATAAAATAAAACAATAAATATTAAACTTAGAACAATCACTGATCTTTTTCTTGACTTTTTTTTTTTTAATTGGTTGTACACTTTATGTGAACGCATGCATGCCCATCAATTATTAAAGAATCAAAACTATCTTACATTCGTAAAGAGACCAAATAAAAGTATTCAAGCCCATATTGATTATGATTTATGAATAATTGAATATCAATAGGACAATAAACAACCCCACGTTGCATGCGTGAAAGTACGCTGACGGCTGACCCACTTTAATGGCTCTATAAGAAGTGTGTAATTTGACTAATTATTAACAACAAATGCATGGAATAAATAATAAGAAGAAGCTGTGCTAATTATGAGTACTCCAATGTAAACTTTAACTGCGAGTCTGTATATTAAACATTTGAGATAATTTTATCGTTTTTGTAGTCCTTTCCAACCTGCAGCTAACTTGAATATGCCTATATATAATTTGATGATTTTTTTTTAAATGCCATGGAAAATTTACATGCATGCATGTATATAGATAGAAACTAAAAGCACGACAGGAAAATTTTAGCAAAATATGTATATAATTCCAGCCCCTCTCGTTGAGAAAATGTTAATTAGAATCGAGAAGGTTTCTTTAATTAATAAAAAGGGATAAAATAAGAACCTAACTAACACTAACAACACAGGGGCACATAGTCATATAAATGATACTACCTTTAGTCCTGAATATAAGAGTTAGTTAACTAATCTGAGTAGACTAAAAAACTAATTAAGTTAGTTATTTGTAATAAATATATGTTCTCTTTCTTAAAATATCTTTACTAATTAAGTACTACCTCCACTTCTAATTTTAAGAGCTAGTTGACTATTTTGAGGAGATTAAGAAAATAAGTTAAGTTAGTTATTTGTAATAAATAAGTATTATCCTTTCTAAAATATATCGATTATAATTATTATTATTGTAAGAACTATCTTTAAAAAAATAAATAAATATGAGAAACAAAGTATAGTACATCCTTATATTTATCATCAAAATAAAAGTAAAATAAACTCTCATATTAATTAAGAACCGGAGGTAGCATTTTGTTTATGGTCAACGGGAAAAAAAAAATGCTGGTATGACATGGCAAAGAAACGCCCAGCCTGTGAATTAATAATAATATTCGGTCAGAGAAGGAAATTTTCATGCAACTTCTGTGGAAATTTCTTAATGACCAGAAAACACATAATTACTTAATAATAATCATATTAATATTCAATGGACAGAGAAGATAATTAATGACTAAAAATCACTGCTAAGAGGGCTACATGCCAATGAATAATGATATTTAGTTTATGGTCAACGAAAATACCGCTGGGATGAGATGGCAAAAGCTCACCACATGACCTGATTAGTGCGTAAATAATAATGTCTCGTCGGTGAACGAAATTTTTAATTTTCATTCAGTCTTTTTTTTGTTTTTCTACCAGCAATTTTCATTCAGTCTTAACGAAGTACTACCATATATATCCACATTCAATAGATTGTGGACAATATTGATAGAATAATAATGATAATTCTTTGATTACTTATTTTATTGCTATGTGATATATTGGAATGCTCATGAAATATGCCTAAAATAATTATAATATGTTTTTATTTTCATTTTGTTCCAACCATTAAATGGGTTCTAAAGGAAAGAAGGGATGCGAAATAAAAGGGAAGAAATTGTCGTGAATGTTACAAATACTGAAAAGTATAAAGGGACGCGACGCATTAATACTGTGCACAAAATTAAAAGTACTGAATTTTTTATTTCAACTAATTGAATGTCACGTTAAGTTTTTAAAATTTACATTAAGTGCCTGTTTGGTATCACTTATTTTGAGCTTATAAGTAGCTTATAAGTTCTATAAGCTCGATTGACACAATTGGGTCTGTTTGGATCAGCTTTTCTGCAATCGGACTTTTGTCTGAAAAGTTACAATAAGCTATAAGTTAAAATTAACAGCTTATGACTTATAGCTTATGGCTTATAGCTTTTGAAATATGGAGAGAGAAAAAGTTAAGAAATTTATTACCTCTTTTGGTTCTTATTATAAGCCTCAAATAACTAATTTCTAGATAATAAAAAATCAGTTAAAATTAGTTGAAAGTCATGAATAAGTTAGAAATATATTTTTATTTTTAAATATGCTCCTAAAAATATACTTTTATTTTTTTATGTTTCACTTTATATTTAAAATATTTTTTATGACTTCTTCATATTAAATTATTTTAATTCCATTGTATTATGTGAAATTATTTTTTTAATTATATTTCATTATTTATTAAAACTCATATCCATTTTGGTCATTTTACAACCAACCTTACTTTTACTCAATCATAATCCAGACAACCTTTTACCAATCTCACTTTTGCAATCTAGCTTTTCTGAACTCTAATCCAAACACAATTCAGCTTATCCAATTTAGCTTTTATCCAATTTCACTTCTCTATAAGCTACTTTTTCAATAAGCTGCTTTTTCAATCGCTGATCCAAACAGACCCTAAGGCAGGTCATTCCCCCACCTTTTTTTTTTTTTGGGGTGGGGATTGGGGGTGTTGGGTTCATGATGAAGATGGCGGGGAAATCAAATGATAGAAGCTTTGATTGAGACCCACGAAGATGAAAAGAAGTGAATGTCACATACTGCCACGTCATACTCTATCTCCTCCGCCACGTGCCTTCTTATCATGCCATCTCCTTTTTTGTTTTGTTCTTCCTTTTCCTTTCTGTTCCTCCAGTCTCCCTTTTTATTTCTTCGTAGATTCCCTTAAATATCAACTCTCGCAATATCGCTTTTATTGTTTGATCCGTTGTGATGAAATTTTATCTAATTATTTGGTTCTCTATGCTATTCTTATCTCAATTTAATTTCTCGCCCGCAAATATTTTTTTTCCATTTAATTACCTTGGACTAATAAGATTTCGTTACCAACAAAGTTTTTTCATGTTAATCTCTCGTCAATGATGTTAATGATGAATTCACATGTTGTACAATGATGAGTTGATGACGTCCAAGCAATGATCTGTCCAGATTTTTTTTTTGCGTCATTATATTCTTTAGTTCTTTATAAACAACAAATTAACACGGAGACTTTATTTCTTGCTCGAAACATAAAAGGCATTATTGATATACTCCTCCGGTCCTAATTATAAGACCCAATTGACTTATTTGAGGAGATTAAGGAAGTAAGTTAAGTTGGTTATTTATAATAAATAAGTGTTGTCATTCCTAAAATATCCTTACTAATTAAGTATATTGGCTAAAACTATCATTATTAGAAGGATTATCTTGGAAAAAAATGCATAAATATAAGAGACAAAATGGATTGGGTCTTATAATTAGGACCAAATAAAAAGTCAAATTGGGTCTTATAATAAGGACCGGAGGAGTATATCAGTTTGGTGAGAAATCAAACAGCGGAATATAGTATTCGTATGTGTAATGCGAATTTTTTTCCCCAAAAAAAATACTTCACTTGTTTTGAAAAACAATGAAATTAATAAAAGTCATGCGAAATAAAATTAAAAATAACACACACCACACATATATATGCGATATTTAAAGCGAAGTATGGAAGCAGGTAATGCAAACCTCCTTTATTTTTTTTATGGCCAACACGTACACATCGTTGTTTGAATATTAAATGAATGACTTGTGCACTTTATATAGCCACGTACCGGCCACGATTCATGAAATTAAACAGGGGCGGGGCCTCCATATGAACAGTATTGATTATATATATATGATGAATTAATAAATAAATGTCGCCATTCATGTTCTTTATAAAATCAAAATAATAATAAATATAAATGCGACTGGTTAAAACTTGAAAGCCTATTTGGGTGGCCCTACAAAATATGACGACATAGTTTGAAAATTGGGCTCCGCTTAGAAAAAAAAATAAATGAAGGAAGGAAGGAAGGAAGCGCATATTGTATTTGTAAGTTTCTTTTTTTCTAAAGTATAGGTATCTTTTGATTGGATATAATTCTATTCAAAACATTATCAAATACTACATGTGAGCACATCTTCTAATAAAAATTCGAATATTCATTCGTCATGTTGTGAGGAGGGATCAGCCCCTTCTACTAGATTATTTATAAGTTAGTGGAAGGCAATATGAACGTGGCCATGCAGATTCATGATCCTTCCACACCATTAAAAAAAAAAAAAGACAAGAAAATAATGCAGAGAGCATGGGAATATAAGGACTAAGGAGGACCACCAATTGCGGCACAAGATGCTCAAGCGTGACGTCCATCTTCATTATAGAGCACCCAACACTTCAGACTCTTCAACTCTGCATCAGGGCTGATCGACGCTTCTTCACTGAAAAATCCGTTGTCGTAATTAGGCCCATTTGGGCCCAGTTTTTAAAAGGCCTTCATAATTATTATCGGGCCCAAACAAAATAAAAGGAAAAGAGAGGGGAGGGGTTTGATAAGTGAAAACTACGTGGCATGCTCGGTCATTATTCTTTTTGTTTTTTTGACCGATTTGGTTGTTATTCAATTTAGTTTACATTTTATCATGAATATCATTTTTTAAAAATATTTTTATTCTTTTTACGCTGGGATTGAACTTGCAACCTTTCTCTTAAGGGAGCGATTTTTCATGCTGCTTTGGCATCTCACCATTGGACATTGCTTTCATTTGATGATGACTACTTATAAAATAAATAAAAAGAGGCATCAGACCTCCTCTGACAACAGATTTTGATTTTTTTTTTTTATGCGAACAGATTTTGAAATTATTCTATATACATCCATTCACACCTTCAAAAGATACAACACTTCCAAAGAAGGCACTGATGCTTCTGTGGTGAAGACAACAAAAACCGGGGCTCGGTATATCCATCGATAATTAATTTAAAAAAAAAAAAAGCCTTTATAACTGTCTGGCGATTCTGTAGGACGAAGTGCTACGAAACTGATAACATCTATCCACGTTAATATGATTTTTCCCACAGCTAATCCCACCATTAGGCAGAACAATCCGTACAACACTTGCTCTCTATTAAAATAAGTGAATACGTATTAGATAATGTAAAGAAATCAGCTGCTTAGGAATTCAAAGCCTTGGAGAACAAGAATCTCAAATCCCACATGAGCAGTGACATCATCGTTTTTAATCCACAACAACTCAGGCGTGTCAATCTCGCACTCTATAAATATCCCCCCTTCCCCCCTCTCTCTCTCTCACAGGCACTTACAGAAACAGATAATTTAATAAACCATTTTACAGTTTGTCTTCATTTTCTGTTCACAGGGCGAATGGCTCATCATCAGGAACAGGACAATGTAGTTTTGTTGGATTTCTGGCCAAGCCCTTTTGCAATGAGGGTGAAGATTGCTTTGGCCGAGAAGGGCATTGCATACGAATGCAAGCAGGAAGACCTGCAGGCCAAAAGCCCTCTGCTTCTGGAGAAGAATCCTGTTCACAAAAAGATCCCAGTTTTGATTCACAATGGAAATCCCATCTGTGAGTCCTTGAACATTGTTCAGTACATCGATGAGACCTGGAACCATGAGCCGCTCCTTCTTCCCTCTGATCCTTATCAGAGATCCCAAGCCAGGTTTTGGGGTGATTACATAGACAATAATGTAAGCATATTTATTTCAAGTGCTGCACAGTGTACCCCCACTTTACTACAATAGGGTTTAGGATATTACGCTCCCAGTAGGTTTCGAAATACTCCAATAATTAAGTGAAACTGTCCAACATAAACTATGAAACGGACTATAGCGCCCTTATGTTACCAAAAGCCACCAAAACAGAACGCCAAATAATTCATATTGTTCTTACAAGAGTCGTTGCATATTTTAGCCGATGGACATTATTAACTATATATGATCTTTTACACAGTCTTGGGTTCAATGGGTCTTTCCCACCTCTCACAAGCAAAAAAACAAAGCACACACAAGGCATGCATAATCAATTAGCTGAATTTTGAATGACGCAGGCATACGGAATAGGAAAGGATGTATGGCTAATGAAGGGGAAAGAACAGGAAGAAGGGAATAAAGAGCTCATGGAGTGCCTGAAGAGGCTTGAAGGAGAGCTAGGGGAGAAGGCTTATTTTGGAGGGGAGAAGCTAGGGTATGTGGATGTCGCTCTAGTTCCACTCACCAGCTGGTTCTATGCCTACGAGACAGTTGGGAATTTAAGCATAGAAGCAGAGTGCCCAAAGGTCGTGGCTTGGGCCAAGAGGTGCATGGAGAGCCAGAGTGTGGCTAATTCCCTGCCTCACCCACACAAAGTCCATGAATTGGCCATTCTAGTTAGGAAGAGAAGGGGGTTGGAATAAGGAGGGAAGAAGGCATGCTTTGTACTCAAACGATAGTCATTGAACCAGTATTTGTGATCCATTGCAACTAGTGTTCTGTCGGCCAAAATAAACAATGCGATCGTGTGAACAGTCAGTAATATCTGTTTTATCTTTTTTCCTGTTTGTTTGTTATGCTGCTGCTTGTTGTGTATCGACCTTTTCTATTTATGAGATTTTGTTTTAAAATCGCAAAAATTAATCTTTCAAGTCGTAGTCCGATGATGAATAAACAAGAAGTAAAGAAGCATCCACGCTATTGAAAAAATTTTGACATTCCAAATATGCAGAATTTGGATTGGCTTTACAACAAAAGTAATTTCCAGAAAAGCTATATTCAAACAAAGCACACATGACTTTCTAAATCAATTGATTCAAACTTCATTTACGAAATCATCCAGGAAGAAATTAACCCCTTTCCATAAACTCTGCACGCTTCACAATGTGATTATAATCGTAGAGAATGAAGAATTGAAAATTTGCGGAGTGTGGGTCGCAACCAGGCCCTCAAATCAGGGATCAGAGAGAGCAGACATGTGGACCCAAGACAATTCAATTTCTGTGCACACTACCATGCTTCCTTCATTGCTTATAATCCAGAGCATCGGCTTATTGTGCACAGATTCAACACGCATTTCCATCAGAAATTTTTTTTCCTCGAGGACAGACCATAGAAAGAAAAGGATGCTTCTCAAATCAGAGAAGGTCAGAATAAAATACTCGTGATCATAAGACTGCAAGAAGAGACGCAAAGAGAAATCGAAAACCTTAGAAGGAGAAAGATAGATGATGCGACGATCTATGCGGGTGTAGATTGGCGCAGCAGCGCTCGTTATTTATAAGAGGAGGTTGCCGTTAGGGTTGTCCTGCGTCTCATTCGGTGAGCGAAATCTGTTTTGCCGCTGCTTATACACTTAAAAAGGGTTTTTTTAAAAAAAAAATAATGATTTTGAATAAGTTTAGATCTTTCGGATTAACACCTGATTATAAATTATTTTTAAAGTCCATCAAAAAAAATTATTTTTAAAATATCATTTTTATTTAACTAAGAAAATCCGTAGATAAAAATGACGTGCTTCTCATCACTTTATATTTCACGCTAAATCATATCGTCGAATTTTTTTAATCACTTAGGTTGAATTGAGGGTCTACGAAATCCAACATGTTAGCTAAACAAAATCACAAATTTAAGTTGTGCGGATGAAAATATAGGCTAGTTTGTTTTTGTTCTTTGTTTTCTTGTTTTCAAAATAATTTTATAAAATTGTTTTTAGAACAAGTTTTGAAAGCAAAAAACAAAAGAATTTGTTTGGATAATAATTTTAAAAAATCATGTTTGAAAAAAAAATTCATAAAAAACCATACTTGCTAGATGATAATTGTGATTGATAATAATAAGTAATGGATAGTAGATGAGAAGAAAATATGATTTCTCAAAATTTATCAAAACAAAAAATAAAAAACATAAAAACAGAAACAGAAAAACATATAAAAATTGTTTTGGTTTTTAAAAACTTGTTACTGTTTTTTGTTTTTTAAAACAATAAACTAAAAACAACTTACTAAGCAAGTTTTTTTATTTTTCTGTTTTAAAAAACTAAAAATTGTTTCCAAAACAAAAAACCAAACAAGCCCATAATCATTTGGATTTGGATATTTGCTGCCAAAACGATCATCTTTCTTTTTTTACCTTTGAGTTGGTCAAAAAAAAGTTTTCATTCAATTTTTTTTTTTTTGCCAACAATTTTCATTCAATTTTTACCAAATACTCTTGGAGCCACTTTTTTTAATAATGTTAAGTTAATGATTAGTATCTAATGTTATCACTTGTATAATAATTTAAGAAATAGGATCTCGTATTTTTAAAATTTTCATATTGAAGCATAAGTAGTTTAAAAAATCGAATATTATTTTTATTTTTTATGGTTATCCGGTTCTCTTTTAAATACATTTTTCGCATTACAGTCTAAAGTTCGAGATTTTATGCTTAAGCGGGCAAAATCTTTTCCATTAGAATTAACACCTGCTCATATATAATTTTTCCTTTGTAGATATTAATTTTACAACACTGCTTGATTTTGTTTTACTATAACGTATGTGTGTGGCCTGTGGGGATAAAATATTGTGTGTGAAACTAAATCAATGACTTTAATTTCTGTCGTGCGAATTTTCATTTGGGACTCCGAACAAACAAAATTAAATGTATCGTGGACTATATATTGTAAATTGATTTCAATATCAATAAGAGATTTCATCATCTCATGCATGCAGCGAATATAATATTTAAATAATTAGAGGAAGGAAACTAAACTCTTAGGAGAAAGCCTCCTCCTTGATCATCACCCACTGGCCAACTGATTAATTAATTAATTTGAACAAATCATAAACAGATCATTAAGAAAATATAATTGCGTTTTCCCGTCATTTTCAATATTTGCTTAATTATGATTGCACTCCTCGTAACAAAGCGGAAGCAAATGGAGCCTTTTTGAGTGTAGAAGCTGATAATCATAAATTAGTATTACGTTGACTGATTAATATGATGAATTAGTTGTTCAATCATGCGCATTATATTATATTACGGGCATACATATGAATATGCCATTATATGGATCCCTCCTAGCAATTGAAAAAAGGGACCAGAAAACATCATGCTTACATTAATGATCATTATATTGATAGAGAAAACCGTTTGTTCATTGTCTCCTTTGCCGCTTTAAATGTATTCGTTAGATCCTATTTATAAATCACTTCTAATATGTTTTACACAAATCAAGAAAAATTTAAACTTAATTAACTCTCATTAAAAATTTAACAATTTTTTAATTTTATCTCTATTTAAATACACTATACCTCATGTAAACAAAGTTAGTTCAATAATAAATGAAAGGTAAAATCATATATTCATATAAAAAATTTCTCTCAGTGCCCTATAAATAAGATAAAAAAATATTTTTTTCTTTGCCCTACAATTCAAACATATTTTTAAAATTTTTTATTTTTAAAACTTGTTCTGCAAAACACAATATATTATTATTTTAAGAACATGAAAATAGATAAGAGAATCAAACAAGCCCTTAATTTTCAAAAAGTATACTTATTTTATCTAAAATATAAATCACGGTGATCATGTGTAAAACATTTAAGATTAGAGTGATAAAAATCATACACAACAGCTCAACAAAATACGTAGAAAATTTATGAATGAAATAAAACAATAAATATTAAACTTAGAACAATCACTGATCTTTTTCTTGACTTTTTTTTTTATTGGCTGTATACTTTATGTGATGGCACGCATGCCCATCAATTATTCAAAAATCAAAACTATCTTACATTGATTAAAGAGGCAAAATAAAAGTATTCAAGCCCAGATTGATTAGGATTTATGAATAATTGAATATCAATAGCACAATAGACAATCCCACGTTGCATGCGCGAAAGTACGCAGACCCACTTTAATGGCTCCATATGAAGCGTGTGACTTGACTAATTATTAAGAACAAATGCGTGGCCTAATTATTAGTACTCCAATTTAAACTTTAACTACGAGTTTGTATATTAAACATTTGAGATAATTTTATCGTTTTTGCAGTCCCTTCCAACCTGCAGCTAACTTGAATATACCAGTATGCCAATATATAATTTGATGATGTTTTTTAAATGCCATAGAAAATTTACATGCATGCATGTATCTAGATAAAAACTCAAAGCACGACAGGAAAATTTTAGCAAAATATGTATATAATGCCAGCCCCTCTCGTTGACAAAATGTTAATTAGAATCGAGATGGTTTCTTTAATTAATAAAAAGGGATGAAATAAGAACCTAACTAACACTAACAGCATAGCGGCACGTACTCATATAAATGATAATACTTCCAGTTCTTAATATAAGATCTGTTTAATTTTTATTTTGATCCTAAATATAAGATCTCAGTCCACTTTTTCTCTCATATTTATGTATTTTTTTCCAATGTAGTCATTCTAATAATAATAGTTCTAGCCAATACACTTAATTAGTAAGGATATTTTAGGAAAGACAACATCTATTTATTATAAATACACTACAAGAAATTGTAAAAGTAGCAGCGGAACCTTTCTAGCGGTTAAAGAAAACCGCTAGAAATTTCAGATATTTCTAGCGGTTCCTACAAAAACCGCTGCAAAATACAGACGGTTTGACCATTAAACGCACATTTCTAGCGGTTACCCCCTAACCGCTAGAAAATTAGAGCTAGAAAACTCCCCGGGCTTTGGCGGGAACTTGGCGCCAAATTTGTAGCGTTTACTTTCTAGCGGTTCAGGCTAATAAACCGCTAGACACTGAAAAATTCTAGCGGTTGATGCATGAAGCGCTAGAAATTTTTTTCATTCCCCGAGGAGTTTAGAAATTTCTAGCGGTTCACGGCCGAACCGCTAGAGATTTCTAGCGGTTCGGCCGCGAACCGCTAGAAATTCCCAACGGTCATGTGACCGTTGGGAATTTCTAGCGGTTAGGCACAAAACCGCTAGAAATTTCTAGCGGTTTTGTGCCTAACCGCTAGAAAGTTTCGGTCTATATATATCCCCCCCCACACTCTCACTTCTTCAATCGTTCTGGAAGCGAAGCTCTGCTGAATTTTCTTCACAAACATATTTGAGTTCTGATTCAGTTGCAGATCCTTATTTTCAGGTAAAAATAGTAATTTATTGATAAATAATTTTTATTTTATGTTTTATTTTATTAATTTTATTATGTTATAGCTTATAAATTAATTTTTTTATTTCATTTATAAATAATTACTATTTGTTGTTATTAGGATGCCTCGTCGACATGGGAAAGACCCAGTTGATCCTGAGAGAGCTGGACCCAGTGAGGTTCATCATGATGCTGATGAGCCATTTCCCAGCATTCATGACTACGATCTGAGCGAGGAGGATATCCTCAGTTTTATGGAGCAGGATGGTATTGAGCGGACTGAGGAGGCTCATTTTACTGGGGATGAGCAACCCCATGCTGATGCTGCTGACGAGGAGGAGGAGGAGGAGGAGCAGCAGGATCAGGGGAATGAGTATCCCCAGGCTGCACAGCGTCCTGCTCCGAGACGTCAGGCTGGTTATGAGGTGGAATTTGTC